TATCTGAGCGACTGCAAGTCTTTGAGTTCCTGTGGGAGAAAAAGGACCGTTTGAAGAGAGTTGAAGCTTCAGAAAAGCCCCTCAGTATCCAACTCTTTGACGGCCGGACAGTGAAAGGAAGAGCTGGTGTCACCACTCCTCTCTCTGTTGCTCAGAGTGTCCGGTAAATACATAATGCATGCATAAAAGTTTGGTTTACTTTAACTTTAGTTATATAACAGTATTATTGCATGTGTTATTTCAGGGTGAAGGGAGCACTGGTGAGTAAGGTGAACGGTGAGCTGTGGGAACTGGGGCGACCCCTAGAGGCAGATTGTGACTTACAACTTCTGGGGTTTGACACGCTTGAGGGAAAACAGGTAATTGGACCTGTCTTTTAACACTCTGTTTAAGTTCCTTCAGATTGTGAAATGTGCCTTTTTAAGATGGTCTGATGGGTCTGAATACTTTCTGTACCCACTGTATGTGACTTTAGTGGCAACAAACACCAGAAGGTTAGCATGATATCTTAATTGTAGCCTGTGGAATGAGAGTATTTTCAAGTCTTTTGGCCAAAGGAGGAAGTTAAAGGAGTACTGACAAGCAATTGCAAAGTAGCCATTACCACAGGTGCTGCTTAAATATTTCTAGGCCACTTAGCACAGTAAGGGACTTTTCTCCCTTCCAAAAGCACATTTTGACATTACTCCTTAGATTCCTTTACTTCACATTGCCTATATTCTTTTTTTACAGGTATCATGGAAGACAGCTGCGTGTGTCCTCGGCAGGGTGTTGGAGGAGGCGTTTGGTGCCAAGGTGTGCAGAGAAGGAGCATCAGAGCTCGGGTTTTACTGTGACCATCTGCTTAACCACAGGTAATGTGACCATTTCTGATGAAGCACAATTAACCACTTTATCTCTGGTTGTAGTGTTAGCTCTTGTATACTAATTTCTAGACGATCAGTGACTTTAGGATCCTTCAATCAATCAGAAAGTTCTGTGAGACTGCACTCATGGAACTGAAGTTTTCTGCCATTCCTGAGAACTGTTTTTAGGGAATGAAGTGGACTGAACCATTCAGTCTGGAAAACAGGTGAAAGTCACAAGTGCGTAGAGACAATTTAATACCACTGCATTTGAACAAAAACAGAAATTCCTATTAAATGTTAAAATATCTCCAGACACGTTAAATCACTGAATAGAAAATCATGCAAACATTTTCTTTGAGACAGTGACCTTCACTTTAGTCAGGAATACTAAAAGAATTGTCCTCATGTTTAATACATTCTAATTTTTTGAATTTCCTTTTGTACTTATGCTTTTACTCAGCAGAAGGGTTACATTTTTATTTTTACATTATTTTCTGCTGCTTTAAAATTTCCATCAGTTTTTTCAACCAGTGGTCTACAGCCCCCTGATGGTCCACAACGGCATTGCAGGTGATCCTTCATTATGCATTCAGTAATGTCAATGTAGGATTTCTTTTAAAAAAACTTATTTCTGTGTGTTACTGATTGTTTGTAAATAATCAAATTCATACAAATCCATAAAATTTAGAAAAGCCAAGGTGTGCCCCCTCTAGTCTATCCACTCCACAACAGTGGTCCTCACATTACTTCTTAGTCGGAATGGTGGTCCCCGGGTCACAATCAGTTGAAAACCCCTGATCTAAACCTCAACCACTCTTATTGGGTAAAACACACTGGAAGCAAGACAGCTCTGGATGTTTTACCTGAATCTGTCTCTACCTGCAGTGCCCCATCACTGAATGATGTAGAAGATAGATGTAAGGAGATGGCAGCCCTCAAACTTCCTCTATCCAGACTTGAGCTGAATACAGAAGAGGTCCGAGAGCTCTTCCAGGTCAGTACCACACCCTCTCTGTGTCCAGACAATCCAGAGATGACATTTCACAGCCAACAATTTTAGTTCTCACTGCAGGAACAGTATAGGTGATGATTTGTCAGTTTGATTTAGCGTTGTAAGCTATTCACAGAGCCAGACATTTTAGCATGTCACAGTAGGAAAACCACAGGTGTAAATAACACCATAAATTATGTCTGAATTAATTTAGCAGCTTCAGTTTCAGGTTCCTGGTTTTGTCTGCGGTGGTTCACTATCATAGCTTACTGGGACATTTAAACAGAGACATCGCCAATGTTATTATTGACACCTGTGCTTTTCCTATAATGACACATCAGTATGTCTGCTGAGAAAAAAGTCCCGTATCAGGTCTCTGGGACTGGTAAAACTAAACTGATTGCAGTCTTGACTATTATTATTATTAATTATACCAGTGCTTCTCCAGCAATAACATATCAAATACCTGCAATAAAAACAATTTATTCCAAGAAGTAACTGATGAGAAAATATTGTTTTCACTTTGCTAACACTGCTTTTTTGTTTTTATATAATTGCTTAGCCTATCAGTTCTCATGCAGGGCTGTTGAATGACTTCTGCCCAAGTGTAATTGTTTTTGTAAATCACACAGGACCTAAGACTTAACAGAATATTGGAGTTCAGATGTCATATATTTTGACAGACCCTCATGTCCTGCTGTGATCACGTGAGCAGCAGTGATAATACTTGCTGCATAGGAGTGGCTGCTGCTTTGTTGAAACGTTTTACACTGTTTGCTTGCTGAGGTCGGGCCCATCCTCATTGTCCTGCTGCCCATATTGTGTGTGTTGTGATGTGGATGTTCTTCATACAGAACAGCAGACTGAGACTGCAGCTTGCTGAGGAGCAGATGAACGGCCCTGTCATCACAGTATACAGGCATGTCTTGATACACACACACAGTAAGCGATGTTGACTTTCCTGCGAGTGTCTTCTAAACTCTCATCAAAAGATTAACCCTGTTTTATCCTTTCTTTGTGACTCAGGTATGGAGACAGTGTGGGGGTCTGTAATGGCCCCCTCCTTCCACACACTGGCCTCCTCAAGGTCTTCAAGATGCTGCAGGTGTGTTTTTGTGTGTTTGTATAGTTTGTTCTCTTCTATGTACTATTTCTGCCTTGTGCGTAGCTGTTTTGTCCCTTTAATTTAAAGATTAAAGGACAGTCCCTTTAAAGCCACTGTTTCATATTATACCTGTTTTATTTGGACCCATTTGGCACCGTCTGTTCTGTGAGACACATGCTGGGTAAATGGAATTTTCCTAGTCTTTAATGATCCAGGGAGAGGGAGGAGTTTCCATACTAGACTTTTACTGGGAGGACTGGGATTCCATGGCAGCCAGGCTGGAAATATCAGCAGCAGGATGTTGTGTTTGTCAGAGTCCAGTTTCCTGTTCTGAGCTCCTATAAACAAACCGTCCATCAGACATGCTGTCACCCATCACTCCCTCTTATACCATCTCTTTATCCACTTATTATTTTCTCTTTCTCTGTAATGGTCCCAGCTGTCGCCCGTGACCCTGGCCAATCAGAAAGAGTCGTCAGGTTTGATGCGTCTGTTTGGTGTTGCTTTTCCTGAAGAGGAGGACAAAAATGAGTGGGAGAGGCAGCAGGAGGAGGTGAGGCGGAGGGACCACAGACGCATCGGGACGGTAAGGCAAAACCTAAACTCAGTCAAATGTCGAAGGAAGTATTTTCTGGTCATAAATGTCCTGTGTACATGTTTTTGCACAGGACCAGGAGCTGTTCTTCTTCAGTGACGTCAGTCCAGGCAGTTGCTTCTTTTTACCTAAAGGAGCTTATATTTACAGCACTCTCACAGACTTCATTAAGGTGAACATAGACTCAGTCACTGATTTACATGTAAATGATCTGCATTAATATTTGTTCTATATAAGACTGTTTTATAAGAGCAAGAAGCATTAGGAGTTTGAACCCAGCTGATTGCTCAGTTGTCAAATATACCTCTGTCTTTTTTGGATTAACAACTCATGTGTTCTAAATATCACTGGATTTATAGAAACATTCATTCATTCATTTTCTACCGCTTAGTCCCTGAACGGGGTCACGGGTGGGGCCGGAGCCAATCCCGGCCGGCAATCGGGCGAAGGCGGGGTACACCCTGGACAGGTCGCCAATCCATCGCAGGGCTAGATTTATAGAAACATTCCATTCATATTCCCATTGATTGCTGACTCCCTCCACATTTTATTACAGTGTCAGTTTCAGTCTCTGTCCTGGCTCCTGCCTTGGGTGTAAACACAAATCTGTCATTGGTTTACAAAAAGTAGCACAAATTTAAAAATACTATATTTTGATTGGCCACCCCAAACAGTAACTTTTCACCTGTAGCCTCAGTCATATGGAATCAGTCCATTTCCACAGTGCAGCAGCAGCTACTTTAAATAAACTGAGACTTGGTCCTGGTTAGCACTTTTCATGTAACTGAAATACCGCGCGCACACTGAGCTACTGTCTATGTAATAAAACATTCTGCTAACATTGTCGTTACTTATCACTTAACTATTATCTTCTTCATTTGGATAATGATGCAGTAACATCTATGTAAACATAATGAGCTTCTCATTCACACAAACATGCACGTGTTAACGTGTGGTGTTAATTGTGTCCTGAGGATATGCTGTGCATATTTATATCAGTCGTCAGGATGTTACTTTTATTTGCATGAATTGTAACAGTGTTGAGACAGTCTGACCTCTTCTGTCCGGCACTCATCGTCACACACACCCTTTCTCACATATTTTAGAGTGAATACCGAAGGCGAGGCTTCACTGAGGTTGTGACCCCAACTCTGTACAGCACAGCATTATGGGAGCGCTCAGGCCACTGGGAGCACTACAGTGAGAACATGTTCACTGTGACGTCAGAGGGCTCTCAGACCTACGCTCTCAAACCCATGAACTGTCCTGCACACTGGTGAACACACACGCACGTGCCCATATTCTTGTAACTTAGGTTTTACCGCTGCCTGACTTTGCCTTCTTGTGTTTAGTCTTATGTTTGAGCAGCGTGTACGCTCGTGGCGGGAGCTTCCTCTGCGATGGGCTGACTTTGGGGCGCTTCATCGCAATGAACTCTCCGGAGTGCTAGGAGGGCTCACTCGTGTTCGCAGGTTTTGCCAGGACGATGCTCATATCTTCTGCGCACCTGAGCAGGTGCACATAAAACATACCGTCATTTTGTAGCAGTTCCGTTTTCAGGGCCATGGCATACTTGTTAAGGTCCTGTAACTGGGATAGAAACTGTACAGTGATTAGATGGGCTGAGGCCTCAGCATGGATGAATGAAGGTTTTTGTCCTGTTCAGACAGTATGCTCTCTAATGTGCATCTCTGGGGCTTTATTGTTTAATGTGTTATGTTAATGTACAGACATCATAGGCACATGATAATCATGTGCCTCTGAAACACTCATTCAACCTCTGAAGCACTCAGGCCTTTAAATTTTCTTATCAGTGTCTAAACTGTCCATAGATGTTATTTACATTACTGCGTCTTTTTTTTTCCATTCTTTCCTTCAAGCTGGAAGAAGAGATTATGGCATGTTTGGACTTTGTGAAAAGCGTATATCAAGTGTTTGGGTTTTCTGTCCACTGTCTTTTGTCCACACGTCCCACTCCGTGCCTGGGGGAGCCTGAACAGTGGGATCATGCTGAGCAGGTAAACACACACACTTTCATACACATTTTATTATCTTGTGGTATGCAGAGACAGTCTCAGACAGGGCCAGCTGTTTGAATGGGCATGCACTCTAAGCTGGACCCAGTTAATTACAGCTGTAGAAAAAATATTCTCTAAACACAATGCACATGGTGTAAAGATATCCGCTTAACCATTCAAATGTTAGTGGTACTTTCCCAGTGATGGCTGCTCCATGTCGGGCAGCTGAGTAGATGTACATCTCTAAATCCCCATGGACACCTTTCAAACAGGCACAGCAGCAATTTAAGATGATTCAATTTAGTGCAATTGAACGTTATCGTTCCAAGCTCCCACACCTCTTTAACACACACACAGAAGGACCAACATAATGTACATTACTGTGCTTACATTCTCTACCATGCCTTTTAATTTGCTGTGCTCTATGATGTGTGTGTGAGCAGCAGTTGGAAAGAAGTCTGCAGCGGTTTGGTGAACGATGGGAGTTGAACCCAGGAGATGGCGCCTTCTATGGACCAAAGGTCAGTGGGAAGAGCCACATACTGCTAAGGAAAATGATTCCCGCTCACAAGAGAAAATATTGTTTATCACAGTATCTGCAGCCAGAACTACGTTGTTCTTCCACTCACTTTATTCATGTTTAATGTCGTCCTTTAGGCTGAAAGTTACTTTACATAACGTGTTCATTAGTGAGCTTTTAAGGTGCTGGATTTCTTTACCTCTGAACATAGCCAGGTTAACGTTCTCCTGTGTGTAGCTTCATAATTATCATACAGATATAATAACGGTGGTATCCATCTTCTCAGCCAGCCTTTATTTAAAAAAAATCAAATAAGAATATTTCCCTAAATACTACTCTAAAACAGTGTATTGATACTCTTTAGTCTAATTTTCCACCCTTTTCTTTATGTAACTCATTATTCTACGACCAGTTTATTGGTGTTGTGCCACAGACTAGTCGGTGACAGAAGCATATTTGTTTAGCTTCTGGATCCACGGAGACCACTCGAACCACCTTAAAAATGCAAAAGTAATTGTGGTTTATAAAGTATATAAACAGTGTAACTAGTTGAGAGATTGTGTAAATGTGTTATCAAATCAAAGGCGGCCACTTTGAAGAATATGAAACATATTTTTGCTTTGACATTTTTTGGCTTACTACAATTCATTATGTTATTTCAGAAACAAAGAAAAGATGCTAAATGACAAGATGTTTCCAAACTTCTCTTTGGTACTGGAGCTCCCCACATTTTTGTATAAAACCTGTAAACAGCACAACTTTATAGTGACCTAGGCTTTTTTTGGGTCAGTTTCATGTTCATGTTTGCATGTGTAAAAAGTCAGTAAACATCAAGAGGAAGTCAGCTTCAGGCAGACATTACATGATCAAGCTCATGTGGAGGTGCAGGGAATGGAGGTAGGTCAAGTCAGGGTGGGGTCAGAACATGATCCATGAAACAAACAAACATTACTTAAAGCCATCTACCTAGGGTGTGTTTGCCACAGTTAGCTAGACCAGCTTCTCTTGGAAATCCATTTGTAACAATTTCTGCTAGAAAAATATAGCATCGCTGAACTCTGATTTGTAGATCTTGGCTGCACAAAAGAAGTGAAGTTCAATGCCAACTCACTCCTGCATATTTCATCGCAGATCGACATCCAGATCAAAGATGCAATTGGCAGGCAACATCAGTGTGCCACAATCCAGTTGGACTTCCAGCTGCCTATCAGATTTGATCTTCAATATGTCGGGTGAGTTGATTATAAATATCTGGCTTGGTCTTTTCAAATACTGCTACGTCTGCAGCCTGCACTTTAGTACCGTGTGCGTGTCTGTTTGATAGACCTCATGTAGTCCTGTAATCGCTCAGGGGATTACTCGAGTTAAAAAGCCACAAATCTGACTTCACGTGGACCTAATTTAATCATGTAAGATTTGGCCTTTATTGAATTTATCCTGTCAGGCCAGCATGCTCCTTGTTTGTGCGTTAAGCCTCCTCGCATCTCATAGTCATCTGCCCTACTCCCCTCATTGTCTAATTAATCAGAGTGCTGTTGATCACCGAGGTACTGATAAAGCTATCACGTTATATGCCATTTGATATCGGGGTATCAATGTATTGTATACCATGATATAGTATGTTTTCTGGGAAAGCAACTGCGAAAACATGAATAAAACAGCCAGACAGGGAGGCCTGTTTGTAGTTATTCCTGCACATACTTTAAGGTGCTTCACTACATTGATGCAAAGCTCAAATAACAATATTTCCTGCTTATTGATTCACAACATTGCACCATGACCCAATAGTTATTATATTAACTGTTTTCTCAGGCAAGACGGGCGGTTTCACAGACCAGTGATGATCCACAGAGCAGTGCTGGGATCACTGGAGAGAATGATCGCCATACTGGCTGAAAACTATGGAGGGAAATGGTGAGATGTTAATTATCACTTAAGATCAGAGGTGTTTTATGAGGCTCTTAGGATATTGAAGGTGTAAGCTTCACCCTAACCCATCACCTCTTTCTTTACCTCATCCAGGCCACTTTGGTTGTCCCCAGCACAGGTCATGGTTATTCCTGTGGGGGGCAGCAGTGAGTCATACGCCAAACAGGTCGGTCTATGGTGGACATCAGTAGACATCCTTGACTATTTTTTTCCGCATCATTATTTATTTGCTTATTAAAGTGAAGTACAATACAGATGCGGTCTTAAAAAGAAGCGTCCCTCTCTTCTGTTAAGGTGGTTCGACAGTTCCATGAAGCTGGTTTCATGGTAGATTTGAATGATGATCAGGGAGCAACCTTAAATAAGAAGATTCGCTCTGCCCAGCTGGCCCAGTACAATTACATGTTTGGTAAAGATGAATAATTAATAACTGCCAAATATATTAAACCCTGAAACCTTTTTTTATTTACTCCTCATTAATTATTTGATGTTTCTGTCCAGTGGTGGGGGACAAGGAGAGTGAAAGTGGAACAGTGAGTGTGAGGAGCAGAGGGGGTAAACAGCTGGGGAGGAGGCCGACAGAGGAGGTGCTGACATCCCTCACACAGCTACGAGACACGAGGAGCAACCTAGATGAGTTCTGATGGAAAATGTCCAAAAAACACTGAGTGACTGATGGAACTGTTTGTACATGCTCAAGCTGTTAAACTTTAGCTTTCTCTGAAGGCGTGGCTGCTGAAATGTGTAATAAAATAGTGTGTGTGTATATGTGTGTATGTGTATACATATATATATATATATACACACACACACACACATGTTCTCCACTCATTGTTGATTTGTCCATTAATGACACTCACTGATAAATCTGTCCTAAACAGCACAGAAGGCCTTTCTAAGATGGCTCTCGGTCTAATAACAAGACTCGGCTACAGATGTAATTTGTTCACTAAAAGCCGTTCAATATGCAGACCTCCCGCTTGTGCAACTCTGTGTCATGATATCAGCATAGCAAGCCAGGCATACCTTTAAAAGAATGGAAGAATGGGAGGATAGGAGGGGGATTTGACTAAAATAGGAGAGGCTGCAGCAGTGTCGGGGCTGTGCTTTCGCTTGTGTTTAGTGGAAATTGCCGAGCCAAGGTTAAGGTCAAAAGGATTGGAAGTTTTTCCTTTTTAATTGAGAGAGGGCAGCAGGATGGAAAAGACATCAGTCACAACCACGAGAAAGAGGGCAACAGGGCAAGGGAGGTAATGACTGACAAGAATAAACTTTTGTCAACTGGATACAAAACAAGTGCTTCAACAAAGCCATTTGTGAAACAGCTGGAGTGGGCTCTGTGTTTCATTCTACTGGAGATGATTCAGTGGACCAGAGATGAAAGGGGAGGCAGGTTCATGGAAAAAACCTTCTGCCGTTAGCTGGACTCCAGTCGCCTCGGGTCAAACCCAGATACAGCTGAAAGTAAATCCAAACCATAGATTTAGTAGTTGAACAGATATACTATATCGATGTTTGTGGTTGCCCTTTCACAGTCCTGTGCTCTCACTTTAGAGGTTGTGCAAAATATGTAGATGAAATACATATGAGACAGCACCAGCCAACATTGCGCAGTAGTTGATGACATAGACCATTAGCTCCAGTAGACACTCATGAAATCTTGACTTAACAGATAACAGTATCAGGCTCCTCCTAACTTTCTTCCCTGCTGCACTTCCACCTTCTTCTCTGTGAGTCCATACCCACCCCCACACACAAAACAGTCTTTCATTTTACTGGTGGAGTCACACAGAGTTCATCGGAAATTATTTTTAGCCAAAGGGGTTTACTAAGAAAGAGTTGCTGTGGGGGCAGTCACAAAAGCATTTTATTTAGTGAGACATGGTATGAATGGCTATTTGGAGTCAGTCACATAAGACCAATGACCCAGTCCTCATGGGAAAACCATAGGGCGCTGTCCATCGATTAAAGTTGAGGGCCAGGAAAAGTATGTTCCCAATCAGCTTCTTACTGAGATAGGGTCAGGGGTGTGTACATGTACAACAGTTCTGGTTATTTCACATGAGAAATATATATTTTTGTGTTTTTTGCCCTGTTTTTCCTCACCGCTTCAACGTGGACAGGGCGCAGTTGGGAACAGATGATCAGGATTTGGCAGCATTTGAATTGGAGTCAGATGATGCTGGGTTGTTAACTGAGATTAGCTGAGTTTGTATTGTGCCAATTCACAGCAGCAGCCATCTCAGGGCACTTTACATAATAGGGTCTTAAAGTATTATAAAGAAAACCCAACAAATCCCCCTTGAGCAAGGACTTGGCAACAGTGGAGAGGAAAATCTCCCTTTAAAGGAAGAAACCTCCGACACCTCTTGGTGGGCGGCCGTCTGCCTCAACTGGTTGGGGTGAATGGACAGAGGTGAGAGAAAAGAAAGAAAAGCATTGGGACACAACAAATAAACACAGGTTAATGTGGCATCTGACGACTCATCAGAAACGTAGAGTGCTGGAGAAAACTACAGGGAGAGAGAGAGGACAATCTACAGCCCAGAGGAGATGCAGTTTTAATGGCATCGAGAGGGGGCATAGAAAAATAAAAAGCATCATGGGAGGACCCCCATCCTAGGCCTATTACTAAGGGATGGTACACCTGAATATCCTAGAATGGGCATCCAATAGTTTTTTTTTTTTTTAAATGTAACCTTCTAATAATACCTTTAAGTATAAATAATACCTTAAGAGCTTTAAGTCTAAACGACAATGACAAACAGTGGCAGCAGAGCATTGCTTAGAGAAAATGCTTCCTAATGGAGAAGCTTTTTGGGAGCCCAGTAGTGGTTGTAAAGTGACTTTGAGATTGCTGTCATCCTGGAAGTCAAGGGGAGGCAGGGTGACTATGACCCAGGCAGGGAGGCAGAGCCTCGCAGGCTGGCTGGAGGAAGATAAACAGACTGCTTTGTATTGTTCTCCTGGTATCACTGAGAACCTGTCAACCTGACGGATTGAAGGCTGAACCTCCCAAAATAGGCCTTGTGAGGCCAGGCTGCCTTTCCCTTCCACCCTGTTATAAATAACTCCTCTGTTTGTGTGTGTGTGCGCCTTGTGCTCATGTTTGCGTGTGTTTTAGAGTGGGGGCAAGAAATAAAAGAGAGAATGTGAGCAAAGAGGAGAGAAATGTGAACACTTGCCAAGGCAGTCTGAGAAAGTGTAGCCACTGAAAACAAGATCTGTGAGGCTTAATGCCAAACAGTGACAGGGACCCTGTGGTCAAGACCCTCCAGTGACCTCTTTTAAACACACACCGATTTGAACTCTCTAACATACTTGCAGTAATAAGGTACTCTTTCTACCTCCAGTATTTGCCCATTCCTTTGTGTGTTTAAGTCAGTAATGTTTGGATAAGGCCTTGTAAATTACCACCTGAGGGAATATCACTAGATGGACAGGTGTGCCAGGGGTAGATGTTTATCGTGCACATATACAGAAGGGCAGCATTATTGCATTAATAAGAACACAGCCCGGCCTAGTGCAGCAGGGTGGGGATTCAGTTGCTTGTGTACTGGGCCGAGCAACAATCAAAAGAAAAAACAACTTTCTTGTCAATGTGAGACAGCAGAATAAATTTCCAGGAAATATTTTACTTCAAGCCCCAAACCTCAGCCCACCCGCACTGTGTCTCCCTCTCTGTCTTTCTCTCTCTCTCTCACTCTTCTGTGTCCAATAACTGCTCAGCTCAGTCCCAACTCTCCAAAAAGAGTTTCTGGGCATGTTGCTCATTATTTGATCTGGCCTCCCTCCTCACCCGTCAGCCAGTCTCTGCTCTAATCCAACGTTGTGCACTTTGCTTCTTTCATTTAGATGTGTGCTTGGCTTTAGATTTATTTAAAAGTAATGGATGCTCCTGCTTGCACACACTCACGCCGAGCTGTCGACTGTGCTGGGGAAGTTGCCCTTGCATAAGACACTCAGATAACTCAGCACAGTAGTGTACAGTGTCAGCCAGGCTTCAGTCTGCTCCTAGGTATGTCTGCAATGCTCAATACACTGCTGACCTGATTTTCTACCCTGTTCTGATCAGAGTCCTAAAGAGAAGAGGGAGCAATGAGAGGCCAGATAAAACGGTCTCTCTTCAGTCTAAAGTCTGTGTCTATAAAGGCACTGGGCTTATTGTTCTAGGCAACCTGTTGAATTGCTCTCAGGAGGGAGGAGTTTATGGGTTCGGGGAGAAGTCACAGGTCATGTTGACTCTCGGGCCAGTTTAGTAAGCAATGGCAATAAACCAACTGCTTGGTAAATTTACAAATATTTACCAATACTATTCTCCTCCTGCAGCAGCTAAATGTGTGCATTTGTATGAGGAGAAGTGAAGAAAGAAAAGGCTGAGGAGGCTAGCATCAGTTTTGAATTTGCTTGTGTGACTTTGTGCCAGCCCATGTGGAAGACGCCCAGGCTCTGATATCCCACACTGCTGGGTGTGTTTCTCAAATCTTACAGGACTTAAAAAACCCAAGAACAGGGCAGAGTTAGAAATCAAGGGGCTATAAAGAAAAACTGACAGAAAACAGACTTCTGAGATGTTAGTTAGCCTTTCAAATCTGACAACTAATTGCTGTGAGAAGTGATTTATTTTTGTTTATGTAACAGAAAATACACCATTCAGTGTGAAAGAAAATTAAAAATAATTGCAGTCATTTATCACTGATCAAGATCAAGTAATTAAAAACAACATCACTTCTTTTCCAACTGTGCCAAAGCTATAATTGATTCCACAGGATCAAACAGTTTTTACAAGATTTTCATTGAGAAGTTCAGCCCTGTAAGATCTACACATCCTAGTACTGTATGTCCAGTGTGTGATGTACAAACTCTCCCTCCCTTTCCTTGACTCTGTGTGTACTGCAGAAAATAGTGAAGCCTTAAGGAGAAAGAGGAGGAGGAGGCGACTTCATGCTGTTTCAAGATTCCTGCTTTTTTTGGAGAAACTTAAACCTGGCTTCAGGAAGGAGACACGGACTGGTTAGTTCATTTAGAGCTAAAGGAGGGAAGGGCGTTGGAGTGCACGGCCAAATCTTTGATCTGGTCTAGGGCATGCATGAAATGTTGCAGGGTTTTATCAGGAAACTCTGCTATTTCTCTGTCTCTGTGTATGGTCGAGGTATAATTACTTATTTTCAGCATCTTTAAACTTAAATATGTGAGAGTGTATTTGGAGTTTTGTTAAACCAGCTTATCCAGCTGTTTCTATGTGCATATTTTGCACTTCATGTATGTTCATGACATATTCTAGATACAAAAAATAAAGTTGGAGCCCATCATGTTTGAACACATAGATACATAAGAAGGCTGCTTATTTATTTTTGCTTATTGGCTTTCTTGATGAAATTTAGATAAGTAGATTGAAACCACTTCCATATATGACCATTAAATATGAAGCAACAGCTGGTTAGCTTAGCGTGGCACAAATACTGGAAACGGGGACACAGTTAGCCTGACTCTGTCCAAAGGTAAAAAATCAGCTTGAAGCTCTCTGTTGCATCCAAGAACCAAAATGTCAAAATGACACCTTGGTGTTTGAGACTAACATCAACTGGTAAAAAAAAGTGAATTATTCCTTTAAACATTTTTTCCTTTTTGCACACATGAGGTTCATCATATTTATTTTCCAACAAAGTTCGTTATAGCGTACAGACCTCAGATCATATTTAGGGAGAGATGCTGCTGTTGAGGTTAGATTACAGCTAAAGTGAGGCAGACTGCTGCCTCGAGGCTCCAAATGGTCAGGGGCCCTGCGCTCCCTGATTTCACCTTGTTTTGTTTAGGTGTTAATTTGATCAAATACAAATTTGTGTGGGAATATGGGCTGTTCAGGCACAGTATTAACTGAACTCACAGAGATCTCTCTCTCTCTGAGTCCTGCATTATTATCCAGTCTAGCGCCTCTGTTGTTTAGGCCCCCTAGACAACACATGGCTGGGGCTCACTGAACATGTGTAGTGCTGGTCTGCTGCAGTCTCAGCCAAACTCCACCACTTTGGACCAGAATGAAATATTTCGACAACTTTTAAATGGACTGCTGAGAAATGTACAGACATTCACGGCCCCCAGAGGATGACTCCTACTGACTTTTCCTTTAGTGCCACAGTGGGGGTGATATATGTGATTTTAAGTGTAACGCATAAACTATTCAGTGCAATACCATGAAGCCACAGATGCTGGTGGTTCCCAGAGAATGAAGCCTACTGTTTTCTTCTTTACACCACCAGCAGCTTAACATTTGTAGTGAAAATCAAATGTATTGAAACCTGTTGATGGATGAAAGGATAATAATGCAATTTATGGACTTTGACATTAATGGTCTTTGTGAGCTTTGCCCCTCATTATGTCAACATATACATTTTCCCAATACTGTTTAACTTTGAAAAGTGCTACATATATAAAATTTTTATTTTATTATTATATTGTTTGTTTTTTTACAACAGAGTAACATAAAAGTAATAACACATTAACGATGGCTGTCACTCACCAGGATCTTAATGAATGAACAGCACAGGAATTCATAATCAGCAGCAGCACTTAACTGAAACGTAGCGAGATAATGCACCGTAGTGTATAACCAACCGACCATAAACATACCGAAGCACTTACTACCCAGCTGCGTAGTCCTGCTCTAGCGCTTGTGGCCCAGTGAGTCTTGTGCCAAACGTGGCTGATCTGTGCCAGTCCATACTGACATAAAGCTTGTTGTTATGTGTCTGGTCTGAATGGTCAACGATTGTTCTTTGTGTGAATAATTGGAACAAGGTTATTTTCAGACGTTTCGTCAGCCATTCAGTCCGACTGAGCTGACCTCTCTGTCCACTCGTCCTTGCTCCACCATTGATAACTAACTCCTCATTGGAGCGCTCCACCCATCGATTATCTTGTCTCCCTGTTTTACCCCTTTTGAACCCCCAGTTTCTATTTTCTCTTTATTCTCTTTCACAGTAGTTTTCCACCGGAGGTTCTTCAGTGGCTCCTATTTCTCTGTGCTTACAGCTTATAACTTCTCAGGGATTGAATTTAAACTGAAATGCAGTGATTGAAAAATATCTCACTTGGTGCTCTGAGCCGCCTCCAGAGCAGACTGTAAAGATGACAGCTGGCTCTCTGCGCCCTCCTCAGAGCATGCACGGCCCTGCTTTGATCCGGGCCCTGAATACAGGATTGGTGGAATGGAGCAAATATTGACTCCATCCTGCCTTTTTTCTGTTTCACTCTCCTTTACACTTGCTCAGTTCCCGTCTAATCTGCCATTACCTCTTTCTCTCACATTCCCTTTCATCCTCTTTCAGCTTCTTCTTTTCTTTTCACTGCCTTTGTGCCCCTGTTATTCACTCACTGTCTCTCTGTCTACTCTTCTCCAGGCTTCTCAGGCTGCTAGTACTGTTATTCCCTGGCCTGTCCTTCTCCTCACCGCTGTGTTAGGTGCCTACACAGAGATCAGTTTGGATTTCACACTGCACAAATTAATCTCTATCATCTACATGCACTTTATGTTGAACTGCATGCTACTGCCTTAAGCCTGGAACATATTTTTGCATCTGCAAACATGCACAGGTGAAGTGTGAATACACTCATGAGGGTATGTGCTTAAAGACTTGAATGAAATGTTCATATGTGCTACCACATTTCCAAAACCAGTCTACACGGAAAACAAACAAAAAAAGACTAGCCACAAACCCATTTCAAACAAAATGTGATTTTACTGCGACCCCAGTGCTATTGAGTACCCAGGCAGGCGATGCATGTTTGAGGCCCTGACTGCAGAATGTGTGTAGTAGAGTGATTTTACAGGTGTACACACCATTTCTACTGTGAGCTGTAGTTTCTCCACAAGACTAATGCAGGAATTAAGTTTCTGCCAAGTTGCATGTAAACATCTTTACACACACAAGCAGAGAACAGTGTCTTGATTAACTTGTCAGCCCCAGAGGCTTGTAGAGGAGGTGACGCTCACTTCTGCCAAGAACACTCCATGTGGACCTCTATCAAGCAAGCTGCTTGATTCAATAAACTCCTGTTGAGAGGCAGATTTGAAACAGAGGAAGAAAACATAACTTACAGCCGTGCATACAAGTATAAAACAAATAGCTGTCCTATCTATGCTCACGTTTTGCCTACAAGCAGTCTGGAGAAGCATGCTACTGCCATAAGAGTCCAACCAAACTGTCTAGATTAGTCCAGCGTATATTGGAAACATTTGGATGCATTGACTAGACAAGACATCAGGGGACCACCAGAGGCATTAGGTTTCATCCCCTGGGGGCCATGAATGCCAGTTCATGACAATAAATAACATAAATGTTAAGACCTTTCACAAAAAGACAAGGTGGTGCTACTGGAAAAGTCAAGGCATGGCCAAAGTCAGCAGGATTCCTCTGGGCACCATAAATGTCTTTGCAGAAACTGGACCCAATCCAGTAAAGATATGACCTGCTGGTGCACCAGAGGTAGGTTCAGTGACAGAGGCCATTAGGATTCATCTTTGGGGCACTATGAATATTGTACCAAATGTAGCAACAGTGTATCCAATAGTTTTCTCTCTCTCTCTCGAGAAGCAGGTTTGAATGGAGCTCCTCTGTTATCATTAGTGGAACAGTGCTACATTTTTATTTTATTTTTGATTTTTGCAGGGACACATGCAGCTAAACATTGTCATACTCAGTCCACTATAGGGTGTGTAGCTAAAGGCTAATTTACAGCCCCTGTCCTTTAAACAAAAAACAAGCTTAAACATCCAAGAACAAATAAGTTAAAAGACAAAAAAAAAAAAGCTTAAACCAGGAAAGATAAAAACCAAGTGTAACAAACAGGCTCACACTGTTCAAATGTTTGCATCTTTGTTGTTTAGGCCACTGTTGTAGAAAAGATTGTGATTTTAAATCTAATGGTAAAGTGTTGCATAGCTGTGATGGTTTGTAAACGGTTAGTGCTAATCATTAGACAGGTTTTCACACTACTCTGCTGTCTCTGACTTATTTAAGTCACTGTCTTGCTGCTGCCTTCACAGGTGGCAGCCTGTAGTGGTCTGACACCCAGCGCTGACCTGCAGCTGCTCTAAAGAAACCCGGAGACCTAATTAACTTTACCAGTAAAAGGGTCTTGAGTGTATTGTGTCTCGGCCTGAGGCTGGGGTGTGTGTGTTTTCTGGAGGCAGGGTGTGTGTACATGCAAGAATTTTTTTTGAGCGATTTATCACTCCCACAGGGCCCTGCTACTTTGATTTGCAGTGCCATTACTCAGATCAGCCATCCGAGACAAATCACACAAGTCTGCAGCTACATATGGACCTCCCTTGACACACACACACACACACACAAACACACCATGTGTGTGTGTTGTGGCGGCTAGTTGATACAAACATGTTGCTAATCAAGGTTCTGTGGTTGGCGATGTGTGTCTGCAGGCCCTAGCACAAGTTATTGCTTCTCAGGCAGCCACAGAAAGAGAAAGAGAGATACAGTGGGAGGGAGCAGACGCTATAAGTGGTCCTGAGCCACTGAGGCCATGGCAGTGACCTCTGGCTAATTGGAGTTACTGATAGACACACTGTTTAAAAGTACAGAGATATCCATTTCACTAATCACACACAAAACACACCCTAAGCTACTGCATATTTGTTAGTATGTGCACTACCCTCTGGAATCTACCCTTTTCGTTCTTGGTACGCCTTTAACATTTTGACTGATCAAATCGTAAGCCCACGCTGTAATGTGGTCAGTTGCTGGCTCGCAGCAGGCTTTGAAGTCACTCGTCTTTGTCACCGTCCAGGAAAAGCCTAGCCCTGGGACATCTCAAGCCCTGGGTGTGTCAGTATGTGTTAGACCATAACTCAGTGTGTACTTGCTCTCCCTTCCCACTCAGTCTCTCTTTCACATTTCCACCATCTCTCGTCTCGGCCTTGAGGCAGCAGGATGAGGGATGGTAATAAGGAGGTTCAAGAAGTATCCTTGAACAAGACCTACCAGCTCCAGAGGTGCTGTTATGTTGATGAGATGGGCCCTGATCCCACCCAAAGAATCAGTAGCAAATATTTTTTTGCCTCCACAGCAGAGATAACTGCAGCCGTTTTCAGGTTGTCTGTGCCTACGTCTGTATGATTCTTGTGACTGCGATATCTCAGGAGCACCTTGAGGGAATTTCTTCAAATTTGGCACAAATGTCCACTTGGACGCAAGGATGAGCAGATTAGCTTTTGATGGTAAAAGGTCAAAGGTCAAGGTCAGTGACCTCACTTCTGTCCCATACCTGTGAATTCGACTGGCTGGTGGAGGCATATAGAGCGAAACAATAATTCTAGTCTTCACTCTTCACAAAATCTCATACAGTATCTCCTCACTTGTTTGTTTGTTTTTTTGTGATGAAGATGATATTTTATTTCTCTGCCATTTATTTATTATTTCTTTGTTACTCTGCAGCTGGGCCGAGCACCCAAAGGACTTTAGAAACACCACAAATTAATATAAACCAGATCCAGAATGCAGCACATACATTTATTTTTAAACAACAAAGAATCCAAATCATTTAATTTTCATAACCAGATTTTTATAGGTTCATGTCTTCAACAAAATTCATAAAGTACTTCAAAAGAAATCACAAGGAAGTAAAAAGTTCATCTAGCATTGCTCTCCCAGTGTTATTGAATCTGTCAGTCTCAATAAATGCTGGTTTTTATTTATGTAACTAAAGGTCTATTTGATAAGCATGACTTTTACTTGGGGAAAAATCTATTTTTAAATGCTGGAAGACATTACAGCAGAAGACATTTTTGTGTATCAGACTCCCCAAAACATGAGTAAAGCTATTTATCCCATGGAGAACATATGATATTTCTTTCCATCGTCTGTGTCAGTCTGTACCCCCACTGTCCTTTGTGGGTCGTTTGGCAGAAATGTTCTGCCTTAGAGAAGCATACCGATTCACTGGAATAACCAAATAAATAATGTGTAAACAAGATATCAGCCAGTTTGCACATCTGTATCAGACCGCAAAATTAAACAGTGCACAGGCCACACAGACACACATTTGTTTTCATTCCTCAGGGGGACTTCACGTTGATTAACATTTGATTTCCTAACCTTAAACCAAGTTGTCACCCTAAAATTCAAGGTCCACGAGGAAACAGAGTCCCCACACTGTGAACATTACCAGGCGCACACACAGGTTCATCATTTCTGCTGCTAAGTGTGTGTCTCTTAGGAGCGCTTGTCTGAGCTCCAAATTGGTGGGGCATGTCTGACTGTAATTAAACATCTTTGTTTATAGTGTTTTATGCTGCTAACAAGTCAACACTCATATTTAATGCATGCAAGATAAAAAAAAAATCATTTCCACCTTGAAATTGTGTCTATAACTTTGTGGTAGAATATTTAGTGTTTGATTTGGCACAGTAGTAAGCCCATAATGCTTTGGACTTCCCCAAAAAGTGTCCCTGCTGCAGATGCTGCCAACTCAGGGCTGCTTCCGACAATGGGTAGATCATTACTACTGATCAGTGTGACCCAGTACAATGGAGCATTCTTACGCTGGATTGTGCAACTAAGAAAACTGCTGTGAGAGTTATCATAGCTTAGTCAGGGCCCATAGTGGAGTGTGTGTGTGTGTGTGAGAGAGAGAGAGGGTTAGAGAGTCAGTAAATGTATGGTGTTTGAGAGGGTGAGAATGAGGGTGTTGTGTAATCTGTTCATTTTGTCTCCTGTCACCACCCCTGGGCCCCGTTTTCCAAACGTCACACTAGTTTATAATAAGCCCCCCACC